AAAGGAACTATATTCCCCTCGTGTGCACGAGTGTTACACGGACGCTAACCGTCGCGATGGGAACGTGAAGCCACGAATTCACATTCTTACACACTAAGACAATGAAGTACGGATGCCTGCTTTGTTGATATAGCCATCCACCCTTGCTGTTATTATCATCACTGCGGGTGGTTTCCGAATCATTTGTCTCTTGAGCGGGGCATGATGGTCGGTTACCGCTACAGAAATGTGCTAAAAGTACCGATGATTCTCGGCAGTGATGGTGGGTGGTCGGTGGTTATTACGCATATAGCCAACCGGGCATGAAAGGTCAGCACACGAAGGCACTGCAGCGCGTTGAACGGAACGACATTTGAAGGTGGCCCTAACTACCCTTCTGTTCGAATAATGCAACGCCATAGCTGTTTTTAGCAAGTAGGTAGGCTTGGAGTGATGAGTAACAAATACGATATCACTTAATCAGTGGGCAAAAACAAGCAAAACAAAATTACACATCTGCCTAGCTGGATAATTGCATCGAAACTCCGCCTTGGATAGGCAAGTAGGATGCAGCAGGTTTGGATCGAGATCAGGGCGCATCTCAACTTACGTCTTCGGTTTCATCGATGCAGCAAAAGACCAATGACTTAACATAGTGATGCTGAATTGTGAATGGCCCGCTAGCAGACTCTCACCAAACAAGGTATTCCGTAACCTTTGAGCAGTGTTCGTTCGGATTTCGCCTTAAACGGAGTATGCCACCTTTTATTACTTACATCACGCTCGTCTGCTTTGGCCGGCAATACCAGCTGTTGCATCATTCTAAAGAGCTCAGAACATCCATTTGAAGTTCTCGCTTAGATGTGAGAAATGTCATTGAACTCCCTCCTCGACGCTATGAAAATATCATGTTTCATTGCTTTGCTTTCTCAACATGGGTCCTGGGCAATGTTTGAACACACTTAATGACCCGGGTGTTTGTGAAACAAATGCCATGTGAACCGTAAACACTCCTACGTAAGGAAAAGATACACAAATGTGAGCCAATTATCAATCGAATATAGCAAATAAAATGCGATGGCATGGGTCTCTCCCCGATGACGCTTAACACAGTGACTCTGATAGTGTCTTGCTTAGTGAACTAGCGACGGCCTGGCAGGCGCATGCGAGCTCCCTCTCTTAGCAAAAAGTGCTTTTCGGAGAAATTTAGTATTTGAAAGCGAGCTAATACACGTATATCAGAAATGTAAGGATCGTGAAAGATAACCTTTACCCTTGTCGTTGGATGACTGCGGCAAGATCTCTTCGCTTGCAAAAGTGTGTACGCACTTTTTATAATAAAACACTTGCAACGGCTAAAATGCACTCAACGGGCCGATTTTAAGATTCTGTGGTCGTCCAATACCCTCTATAGTGCCATATTTCAAAGAGCTGGTAGCTTCTTTTAACACGCGCTCGGGTGGGGGGTCAAATTGAGCCCCCCCCCCCCGAAGGTTTTTCCAGAATGGTTTCCGAACGGCGCGGCGTAGCCGCCCCAAACTGTGCATAGCTATACAAAATTGAATAGCATATCGTTTTGCATACAAAATTCGGATGTTCCTTGTAAAGTCGCTGACCTAGTCACCTTGATATTCAAAATGTCAAACAAGGTCACTGACCTTAAATGATAATGGCATGTCAAAGTCAGGCCATGGTTTCAGCGAAAGCAATTTCTAGGGAATCCTTCAATCTGGTCCAACAACGGAGTGTTAGACGAAGACATACATCTCTGATATGCTTTCGTAGGCAACACAACAGTTGAATAAGCATATTACAATGGCCTAAGGTCAGGTATGAAGGTCACACCAAGCTCCAAACCAACCTGTTTTGTTTCTCTAGGGCTTGTTGTATGGGATAGTTTCCGGTGCTCATTTCGAATTTATTGATAGCAGGAGCCGCATTATACATCATCCATTGACTTCTCAGATGTCAGAATAGATCATTGACCTAAAATGACCTGGGTCAACATTTTGTTTTAGGAACATACTGCCTGGCGTATTCTTCGTCGCTTAGTCAGGGACAAAACTCAAAGTAATCTTGTATGACTTTGGTCACCTTGACCTTCAAAAGGTAAACAAGGTCACTGACCTTGAATACAAATGTGACCTTTTTCTTAGAAACGGTTATCCAGGTTTTGGGGCACTTTGGAGACCAACCTGAAACTTGACCTTGTTTGACCTTGTTTAGCCAGAAGATCATGACCTAGTAGCCTGAAACTCTGACCTAAGTGAATTCACGTACAGGTCAACACACCCTGAAAATTTGGTGTCTCTAGCTCTCTTAGTTACCGAGATCTCAGTTGAGGTCAAATTGACCACCGCCCACCCGAGCGAAAGGCATCTAGATGCCCCCCGGGCGCGTGTTAAAATGAACACCTACAATTGGAAGCTTGATGTATTGGGCCCGATCTGTATGACAGGGATCGCAAAAGTGTACTATTCGTCCTCGATCAAATTTCTGCAGGCAAAATTGTCGCCAGCAGCCTAACTTAATACGATGTGGCGTAAAATGATACGGAAGTTTATGCCCAATAGTGTCATCAGGAATCAGCTCATCACCAAACGCCTCCTTCATCACCGCAATTTTCGATATCATGCACACAATCAAAACGCTCCTTTATGCAATGTTTTCAACATGTCCGGATAACTGCTGCTGCTAGGAAACAGGCACACCGACCCTAGACTATGGATAGCCCAATCACAACAACAGTCTTCTTCCACCCTTGGGACTTGTCGGGCCTCACGTTCAAAGTCGATGTACGGTTGCGTTTGCTTTCCTCGACTCCGAAAACAGAACAACGAAGGAACTCGATAGTCAGGTCAGCTGAATACATGGCAGAATTCGAATCGGTGGCAGGTAGCTCGGGGGGTGACATCCAATAGGCAGGCCTCCTGGAGGTCATGTCCCCTTACGAAAATCACGCTCTTTGAGCCCACCTCAACCGTCATCAAACTCCCCACCATGCTTTAGCAATGCTCCAAGCCAGGCGCAACATGTATTGCCTAGTGAGCGCCGTTCGCCGTGCCCCAACAAGAAGACTGTGTTGAAATTTGTTAATATATTCACATCAGGCTGTTAGCTCTTTCCGAACAGCATACTCCACTGCTAGGAGGGAGAAGAGGGACGATGCAAAGCCCCCCCCCCCCCCCCCAAGGTTCTCTGAGCATATCAGTCCGGCAAACTGTGCAGACGTGCCCAGATCTTTGGTAGCCTCTGGGGCATCCATTGCACGTGTGTTAACACCTAGACGTATGCCAAGCGTTTCTGGTTTTGGAAAAGTGACGGTTTTTACGAGCACTGCAAGACGATCCACGGCAAGCGGTGATTCTGCAGACCGTACGTGGAGGGCTGACGCTGTTACATTAACGAAGTCCTACATTATAATCATAGGCTCAAAACAAATTAAACTACATGCCATTACACTCAAACTCAAACGAAGAACATACCTCCTTATGTTCCATGTGTCCACGTAGCATAGTTTCGTACATACGAGCATGCAAAGCTGAAATAGTCTGATTTTCAGAAAAAATTAGCCTTATACTTGGCCTAGTGAGGTTAATTGACAACATGATACTTCTCAGCAATTCCTAGGTCTTGTTAGACTATTTTAGCTCACTGTTTTTCTGTAAGACTCTACATTTTTAGCTCGCAAACGGCAGGGACCCCCCTCTCGCATCAGTCCGCGTTATGAAAACCGACAAATCGGGGTAAGGGTTAAAGTTGTTGGCTTCCTTCCTTTTTAATTATTTTGCGTGTACTGGTGTAGCACTCTGCGTTCCAGATCATGAAAAAATCGGCTGATAGAGCAGACCGCTACATTTCGTTACCAACATCCATGTATTTGTAGAAATTCAATCGGCAAGCCAAAACTGCCGTTTGCACGCAAAGCAGCAAGCAAATCTAGCAAATCTAACCTCCTCGTGTAATCATACCTAATCTGTTTTCCTTCGTGGTATTCACCTATCACATGCTTGCATTTTTATAAATATGGCTGGCGATAATGCTGGTAAAATCGAGACGACAAAGTAGCGATGAAATGTAACGTCTGCTCCGAACGCTGTGAACAGAATTTGACAACATGTGCGTTAGTTAGCAGCGTGTGCGTTAAGATTTTGCCTTTATCATGTCTATTATAATGCAAGTTCTGATCAAGCCGAGATGAAATCATAGTCGTGCGTAATTGCGTAGACTACGATGAATATGCCTCACTTTAATGAGGCTAATGAATGAATGGGATGTAATGAAATCAATAATAATGTATACACATGACTTTCACTAGACTGACTAGAATGCAACGAATAACCTCACTTGCATGTCTTGTATGCCGCAAGATCGCCTACTGCAGAAATGAGGCGAGAGGCTACAAATAAATAAAATGTCACGTACTCTGCCCAAACGTTGACTGCGTAATTGAGTATCACAAATCGTGCAAACACATTGGATATACTGTTAATGCTACAATAGCACTTCCCCAGTGTCACTTTTAGACGCCACCGGTCTCTAGGTTTCACCAGAGTATAAGCGCTACAAAAATATGTCACAAAAGTAAGGCGCTCCCTACCATTTACGCATACAAAAACGTTGCTATCCGTGCCTCTCCTTTCGGTAACAACCCAATCGGTGCAGTTGCTCTATCGCACATTGTTTGATTGCATCAGCCTCGATTTTTTTCAGCCCGCATTCCCCGTGGCTTTAAAGGTCCTCACCTCCCGCTCAGTACGCGGTCGCTGAGTTTCCCAACTTATCTTGGTACTATCTAGCGCTATCTAGCGCTTATCTAGCGCTATCAACTGTACGCGCCGCTGCCCGGCCCTGACTTTTGACTCGGCCGCCCTTTGCGCGGGGAACACAGCGGCCGCTGGCGCTGCGTTACTGGGGGCGTGACGGGCGGCGGGCGGCGGTCGCGTCACGGGTCGACGGCCGGCCGGCGTGGGCGGCGCTGACGGCGGTTATAAGGGCGGCGCCGCGCTGGGCCGGGCGAGTCGCCCCGTCTTCACAGGCCCGCCTCGCCATGTTGTCGGCCCTTCTCCTCTGGATCGGCGTCGCCGCCGTCGTCGCGGGTGAGAGTGCGGACCCGTCGACTCGGGGAGTCGGACCGGTCGCGTCGACGGCCGAGGGTCGACGCGTCGGCGTGGGCAACGGCGTGACCGCCGACGGCCGGACGGGCACACGGTTCTGAGACGCCCAGCGAGACTGTGGCAAGCGTCTCTGGTGCTGTCTGACGCAAGTAGCCATTTCATCCTGTGTGGGCCTGTTGCTGAGATCGTTAGCGAAAGAAGGGAATCCTGATTGACGAAAACTGTTAAATGGAGCTCAATGGGGCGCAGGGATAACAGCTTGCAAGTGTTATTGCAACATGTCCCATGGTGGCTCAATGAATCCACCTGATATTAAAGCAAGCTGATACAAGTTAGAGTGTAACTTTTGCAGGCCATCACACAAACACACTGTCATGAGTGCACGAAAGTTAAGTGGCTATCGCTGTGCGTTCGTTATCATGTTCGTATCAATGGCGTTCGTTAATCATGTATTCTTACGTGATTGCGCTTTTGTCTGTCAACTTTTTCATAAGCTTTGTCCCTGTTGATCCATAAATGATTATGATATACTACCATAGACCAGTCAACTTAGATGACCTTTACTTCTAACTTTTGGTATCATGCCAAGTCGCTTTGTAATGTGTTGATTTTCGCTATGCTTAGCAGTAATCACGTCTTTTTTGCTGGCGGATGACATAATTTCCTGAAAGATTGTCATAGATTACTTCGGAAATTGCCCTTTTCATTAATATGCTTATGATACTTGCTTAACCGGCAGAATTAGCCTGCCTTTTCTTTGTCGTTAGACCTGATGTTGTCGCTTCCTCGTCTGCATATGTCATTTTTCCATAAAAGGTCATCACAGTTCATGGACCTAGGCTAGTCCTGATTGAATGAAACGGCACGGCGACTTGTGGGCCGCCGGTTGACAGCTTAGAAAAAAAAATCAGATGGATAACGTGACACGACCCTGCTCCTTGACCTACAATTGCCATATGTCCGCAGTGAGAGGTTTTCCAATTGCATAATTTATTTACCCACATTTTATGCGGGTATTTCGTTCTGTCCGCCCGGATATAAACCACCTCCTCATTATATGCATAGGGAAAGTCGAAACTTCTCCACGCAATCGTATGACAGTAGATGGAAATCAGCGTGTCTATCGGAGGAACTGAGAACTGGAAAATCTGCTTTTTGTTTTAAACGATAGCGGAACATCACTTTTCTTATAATGACACATTAAGAATTCACATTCACTATCTCGTATATTACTCTAACTTCATCTTTTATCCGGAACTCGCATGGCATTATTCTGGGAAGCGATGCAAGTGATCTTAAATATAGACATTGGTCGATCTGTCGACAGATTTGCACTTTTGTAATAGCCAGTCATTGAATACGCAAGGTATCCATTGTAAAATGTCGAGTGCATACATTTTCGGAAATTAATATTGCAAAATTTGTCACTGCAAGGGTCGCGGTATGTCAAAAAGATGGCCGTCGCCGACACGACCGTGATGGTGATGACCTCGGCGATTGGTCAAAACCCCAGCCAGCATGTTCCGCACGTGGCTGGGTTTCATGCCCTTAGTTGCTGGTCGGTCGACGAGTTGGCCGACAATATCGACGGACGGACAGGGACGTGCCGGGTGCGGTGAACACCAGGCTGACCAATACAAACTGATGCGATGCACTTCCGCCCAGCCCGCGACGCGTGAGGACATCCGCCGGTGGATGTGCCGGGGAAAGGTTGCCATTGCCTGGTGTGTTTTGTCCGGGTGGGTCTGTGAACACCGCAGGACTTCGCGACGGTCCTGCGAGGAGCTGGCCAGCGGGATAAAATGGTGATGCAAGATACCGGGCCACGAGGCTTTTTTTGCATTATAGTGCAGATGCCTGGATCACGCTCAGATGCACTTATTGTTCCTGTTAATCGCAAACAATGCACGAGCCTCCAAACAGTCTTGCGAACATGCGGGGTACACTGATGAGCCTTAGCTCAGTGGCCCCTTCCGATACCTTTGCATAACGAAGTATTCATTTATTCCAAATTATGAGGGTAATTATCGATGAAGATGCGTTGTTGTACGAATTACGTGTCAGGCTCTTGCCTCTGCCGATGACGGTTTCAATACTGTTAAAGCTTTGAAGATCACTCTGTGGCGGGCCATCACGCATTAGGTCCCAAGGGTTTACTGCGATTGCCCACTCTCACTCCTACTTTGTATGAGCCAGGGCACGCGCAAAGAGATAAGAAGCCATAGGCCTGTATTGCAGTTTGAAAGTAGAGTTTTGTTTGACTTTTGTATTATTCACTCCATCAGATTCCATAAAATTTGTCTATATTGTGGAGCGTCGATTTCATTTAAATAAGGGAACTTCCCTCTGTCGACACGAGGCAGCACTCGCCGACGATCCATTTCTTGCCTCGTTCAACGAATTTGAAATATTTTGTGGTGAAAAGCAACGATAATTATCATCTTACGTTAACAAAACCACTCTTATTTTGCCGCCCAGTAACAGTTATTCCAAGAGCATCTGCGGATGGCGGACTCAGCCAGAGCGAGCTTCACGTTGACAAGCCAAATGCGTCTGACTTTGCCCGCTTAAGCCTTGGTGTCATTTTACTTGACGGTACTCACATCCGGCCATTGCTTCACCCGCCCCATGCCAGGGAAAACGTAACGCTGTTCATGTTAAACCGAAGCTCAAAGCTAAGTTTCAACGAGGCATCCAGATGGTGCCATGATTTTCAGGGCAAGGGCTTGGTTTCATTCAGTCACGTTTCGGGCGGTGGACTTCCCAAACATCTCGATCAGTTAGCATTCACTTTGGAGGATAATTTGCTACTCTCTCGCTTCCATGCGCACTGCCATAATAAATAGGTGGTTGCAGTTGCAATTTTATTCGCCATATAAGTACGATGAAGACCCAAGGCAAATGGCATTGTCAGGGGCTTTCCACCAGTTTAGAAGTCCGAAATATGCTAAAATGTTCCTTTTGAAACTGCAGTCCGAATCCGCTGCTGGCATAAATCACTCTTACAATTGATCGTGCCGTAATGTGGCATTGGCCTCCCATAGCGCCTACAGTCCCTACGTCAGAGTGAAAACTTCGCAGCAATAGTGCAGCATAAAGAGTCGATTGCTGGCTTTCAGATATGATGCTTGATAGGAGGAGATGTTGACAAGTTTTGCACGTTTAACCTAAATCTAATCTTTATGTGGACCGGCCTAATTTTAGCGGGGACACATGTCGCGTGGTCGGCTATAAGATGGTGGCCTGAATGGTACACAGCTCAAGTATGTGTCTAATCCGAGAATACGGCGCAATAAATCGTATGATCTATCACGATCCATATGATTTATCATGAATCATATATTTGGACACATAGACCAGAATATTAGGCTCAGACTTCAGCTGTGACTAGCCTACGTTCACGTGCAGCGGACGGGCGCCAGGCGAGAGCACAACAAGGATACTTGATGCATGGTTGTAACTGTAGTAGCAGCTTTGGATGCTGGCAGCCGCACGCAACTCTTATTTTATGCCACAGAAAAACAAAACTTAGCGGTAGTGAAATAACTAAATGGCCTAGGTTTTGCCTAACGTGAACAGAAAGATACAGTGGAATCTCCGTTCAAGCTCAAGAAACCGTGTACTCTTAACCTTAGGCCTTTACAATCATATGGTTGTTAATGCGACTCTTTGTGATGCTATAATACGTCCTAGTTTAAACATCACACATTAAATTCCATACAGATAATTCCTAACTTATGCATACAATGCAAATCGTTGTTTTCTATCGCATGTCATTTGGAGCCACGGCCGCACACCAAATTTGACAAAATTGAACGTAACACTATTTGGTCGATGCTAGATGGAACAATTTAATCAAAGGACGTTCCTACCCCATATTAGCACCCAACTGTGGCTCCTCCCTGCTGCCCCCCCCCCCCCCCCGCTTTCAACCCCACCATCACTACCGACCTAAGTGAAAATTGAAAATGTACCCCACGGATTTTTTCCCGTAAGATTGAATACGAACCCTCGTCCATCAGAGGTTTTGCCGAAAAGAATGTGTTTCTATTTTATGAACACTACAAGATAGAAGCAAATGACCCTTGCCCATCCCATAACATACGGGGAGCCCGATGTGCGCCACAGGACCGCCGACGGTTGACAAGTCCGAACAAAGACACAGGGACGCCCTTGACATGAAGGGTGAATGTTAAATTTCCGGGAAAGTGGGAGTACCATGGTATGCATCAGGGCATCCTACGAAGGAAGAACCAGGCTGAAATGTGTTTAACTGTATACGCAGCACGCCAAAACGCATCAGAATACCCCAAAAGTGGACAAAAAACAATCATGATGTCCTTACCTGCCCCTCTACCCTTCTGCAAATACGTCGGTGGGCTCTGGTTATCTTGACCATGTCTCCGCTTTTTCGAGGCCTGCATGCATCACCAGTGCCACTGGCGGTGCCCCTCGCAGCACCGGTGACGCTGGTCAGTGTCCGCCATTACACCACAGTGTTAATGGCTGTCCGCCGCCTGCGTACAGCCCAGGTAGTGCCGTTGACCGTATCCGCCGGCGTTACAGCCCAGGTAGTGCCGCTGACTGGTATCCGCCGGCGTTACAGCCCAGGTAGTGCCGCTGACTGGTATCCGCCGGCGTTACAGCCCAGGTAGTGCCGCTGACTCGTATCCGCCGGCGTTACAGCCCAGGTAGTGCCGCTGACTCGTATCCGCCGGCGTTACAGCCCAGGCAGTGCCGTTGACCGTATTCGCCCCCCTTGCAGTCCCTGTGCCCACCGGGAACAGTGGTCCGCTTGGATCGCTGCTGGGCCCGACGCCGAACTGCAATATCTCGAGCGAATCGAGCCTGGGGCAGAGCGGCCGCACCGCCGGTAACGCCGCCGTGTCAGGCACCACCTCGACCAGCGGCTCGGCCAGCGGCCTCTGCGGCTTCCAGAGCCCCATCGCCAAACTGAAGGACAACGGCGCCGTCAACTCGGGCGTCACCGGCACTGTTGTCTCTGCCGGCTTCGGCAGTGCCGGCCAGCAGGCCAACTCCAAAGGAGGTGACGTTACGCTGTCGCGCTGCCGCGGCGGTGGTGTTGCAGACAGGGCTGGGCGTGGGTGTGGGCCTGTATATAAGGGATGGCGAACACTATGACTCTTTTTAGAAGGTCCGCATATCGTCCCGTCCTGATGAGCGGTATGGAGTGGCCTTGCAAGGGTTTTGCATGCAACTCTGGGACGTTCGTTTATCTCTGCCGTTGGGTGTACACCTTCGTGGGCAAGGCTCATTGGGGATAAGCGTGATTCACAGCGAGCAGAACTTCTGTCGACTGGCCTGTTTGATCAAAGTGAACGCCAGCCGTCCCTTACTCCGCCAGAGTATGTTAAGAATCAAGCACCTCAACCCATTGTACTTATCAATTAACCCTCAGTTAAACACATGTCCCTGCACCTGGCCACTACATTGGTGCAAGTGAAGTTGAACGCCAATTCGCCACCGCAAGCCCGCATGAGCCGCATTTGCATTATTGCGTCACGTTTCACTGACGCACCATGGATGACTGTGGCCCGGCTAGAGTGCGTTGGTCTTGACTTGCAGCCGTGGGCACCACCCCGGGCGGCACCACCGTGACCACAACGAGCGGAGGCAGCGGCGGGTCGAATGGCGGCGGCGGCGTCTCGCAGGGTGGCGGTGCCAACGCTGGCGCCACCAAGAAGAAGGTCGTCGTCGTCGTGCTCGCAGACGGCCAAAAGGTGGTGAAGTTGGAAGACCAGGCAGAGGGCTCAGGCACCTCCTCCAGCGGCCACAAGGCCTCCAGCACCCACAACGGTGTGTTCAACATCCAGCAAGGGGGCGAGACGAAGATCAAGCTGCCGCCGCCGCTCACTGGCTGAGGGGCGACCCCTAAGCGGCTGCCGACCGGGCTCGAAACGAGATCCTCTGCTGGACCCAGTCGCTCTGAAGCCCCCCCCCCCCCCCTTAACTCCTCGCCCACCCTACCCGCCTGCACTGGTGAGGCCGTCGTGGCACTCAAGCGCTGTGCGACTCCATACACCCGCCCCGGAGGAGCGGGCCCAGAAAACCGAATTGTGCACATCGGTTACGACCTGATTCGGCAGTTTTCACAGAGCTGATTTGTAACTGCTGATAGCTGCCTGTGGGTGCATTTGGTGAACCTCGTGGAACAGAATTAATAAACCGTGGGATCTGATTTTGTAACTCCGCGCAAGACATGACGCAGTCGACAGCGGCGTAGGCCTCAACGGCGGAGCGTGCTTACTGCAGTCAGCTGTTTGTTTTACAGATGATTCAGGTTCTCTCAGGCTCTCAGATACAGGTTCTCTGTTGGAGCCGCCTAAGCGATGGGACGGAACTTATCAGGTCTTCTTCTTTCCCGTATGCTTCTTTGTCCATTGCATGTGAACCGCGCATGAGGAACTGGTATCTATTGTGGGCAAGTATGGAATCGTGGATGTCGAAGCAGGAGGCGAGCGTATTGAACGGCCGAGCGTACTGATGTCAAGCTTCAGCATACAACAAGTAGATGTAGCCTCGTTGAAGGCAGTCACGCCATAATTGCTCCACTGAGCCAACAGCTAGACCATAGCGGCCCTGCTGACGTGGACTGCGATGACCTTTGGGCGCTGTCGGTGGGCGTCAGTGGGGCGGCGGTGAGCCGGATAGGGGTCAGCACGCCGCGGCGATCGGCATTGACGGCTGACAGCCAGTCCCGGGGCAGGGAGGGGGGGGGGGGGGGGGGCAGTCGTCCGTACCGGCGAGACGGCACGGGCGACCGCTGATAGGTCAGACACAGCTCGTGCAGCGGGATGGACAAGCAGGGCTGGAGGCGCTGGGGGCTGACCGCCGCCCGGACCTGCAAACAGAACTGCCAACCGCCGTCGGGGCGGGCCGCAGAGCGGGAGTGGATCGACCCCCCCCCCCCCCGCCCCGGACCTGCGGCCAGGACTGCCGACCGAAGATGGGTCTGGCCGAGGGCCAGGGGCGAAACGCAAGCGCTACTGATCGCATCGCACGTTCAAAATTATGTTACATAACTGTTTTGCACTAATCGATTCAGCACGAGGGTTGGCATTCTAACACTATGTAGATTGGTCATGTTCGTACAAATTGCTGGCCCACTTTGATCAACAATCCGCGTTGCCGGGTCCTGAGCATCTTTGTAGAACACAGCAATATTCTGACAGAGCCCAGATTTGAGCCAAAACCCCCGAAAGCTCTCGGTTTAGAAAGTGCCCATTGAGCTATTGTAAAATGAAAAGTGCCATCCGTATTTCAGGCGGTCGTTCCGCGCCCTTCTCCTTCAGGTTATTCACATCAAAATGCAAATAGAACTGCATCTTCCGATAGCTTCTGGCTTTTGTTCCACTTAAAGAAAGTAAAGTGAAACTTAAACAAAGAAAATGGTGCTCCCTAGAAATCAAGTGAGCCATGCCTGGTGACTTTTTTGGGGGGAGGGGGCGGAGCTTTCGTCATCAGGGGACCACTCGTCAACCCTGCGTCCCCTCATCACGAGTCTGGCTGTGCCCCTGTGCCGGACATCCCAGCTGGTGATAAAAAAGCTATATTTTTTGTTTCAAACCATTGCTTAAATGCGCTTTTAATTAGGAGTACAAATCATAAGTAACCAGATGAGTTCATGACATCGGGTTCTTACGATAAGTTCCCAGAGCTTATAATGCCGTTTTAAGGCCCTCTATCTAGAAACACAGGTTTGTCATCCCAAAGGTTTGTTTTCTGTACACCAATGAGCTGCGAACGCATTCCCGGAATTCGGTAATGAGGTTAACAGACCGGAAACACGCTGTTTACGCGCCTCTACAAAAGCATTTGTGTACGGTTGGTTCGAGGTGGCACATGCCAAGAGGAGCATCGCAGCAGAAATAGAACCCAGTTTTTCTCATGGAATGTTTCCCAGGGAAACAATGGGCGTTCCTGCTCACGTTTTGGAGCCAAAATAGGAGTTTCGAAGTGGTGTAGTTGACCATGATGAGACAAAAAGCAGATCAGACTAAACGAGTTGTGGTTTGCTAGCCGAATGAGGAACCTGTGCTATACTCGATCGACCCACATTGACGGGAATCGGCCATGCGTGTCAAGATGATGTTACAGGGCGGCAAAGCCGGCTGAAAATAAACAAAATAAGCCACTTGTAATTTACCACAGTTATATTTAGGCCAGCTGAGCCGGGTTGCAAATGACTGGACTGCGTGAGGAAGTCAAGTGTTTCATTAACGCTGACTACGTCGGATGTGCTCGAGACAGAGGTGAGTTCCGAATCGAGAGCGTCGCTCAGATTGCGTACGTCACGCCCGTTTTTAGTTCGGTTGCGCAGAAATACATGGCCCAGTCGGGCTCTCATCCGAGGCCTGTCGTGAATGATTTGCAGCTTGTGGAGTTCTCATCCTCATCCGGTGGATCACATGACCGGACGATGACGCTGCTGTCATAGCAATGGTCCGTCATCTTGAGACGTTAACTTGCCAACAGCTTTGATGTCATCAGCCTACAGAAGGCGAACGGTTCACTGGCGAGTGGGAAGTCATCGGCGAAAGGGGGAGAGAGAAGCTGGGTTGAAAGAGACATCCACGGGACACCAGAGCTCACCGGTTGCGATAGCGGTAAAGTTGACAAGAGGCCCCTGACGCCTATCCGACAGATACGAGGCGAACCATTCCAACGCGATGTGGTAAAGATGAAGGGAATGATTGGTGCTTTCTATAACTGTTTCCAAGCTGCTAAGAATGAACGTTGCTTTATCCTCAGCACACAGGACGAAGACGTCCGGTCTCTGCCCGCCGATGTGTGATCACGAAAGGTGATTGAGATACGACACATAACGCGACTAAGTGCAATCCATTATTAGGAGGCATATTGCCCGATCTCCGCGAGAGGCTGCTTGTCGGCGTCTTGTCATAGAGACACAATGTAAATGGAGTGCAGAGTGCACGAGCCGCATAATTACAACAGACGTCCCAATGATTCGCCACCTCCCGCCGGGGCACGCGGCGGACGACGCGTCTCCTCTTGTGTCGCCGGCCGCGTCATTGGCCGCCGACTCCCCAACACCAACAACTAATCACATTTAACGCGGATGTGTTGTCGGCTATAATCTGCGCCAAGTGCCGTTATTAGCTCTAAGTCCACCCTAATTGCCGGCGGTGCGCCGCCCCGCTGGGCACCGCCGGGCGCGCACGTGTGGACTCAGGAGGGGTCTGGAAACGTGAGCGGGCACATTGTCAGCTGCCGCCGTCAGGTGCCCCCCCCCCCCCCCCCTCCCCCAGCGGCGGGGGCGGCGTCGGCGCCAGCTGACTCGCAGCCCTACGCCGGCGGCTGCAGCTGCTTAACCTGATCCAGACGTTAGGAGCGGTAACCAATTCAATAACGGCCCGCTCGAGCTGCCAATCAGCGCCTATTGAAGCGCGCCGCCGCCGGCAAATGGCGCAAAGTGCCCGCCAATGATGTGATAAAGATCTGAAAACCGGGCCGACGCCGGGAACGTGCTGCGACAGCGCGCGGCGCGCTCGGCGCCGGGCGCCGAACAATCGCCGCCGCCGCTGCCGCTGCATGGGCGGCTCTGCTCTATCAAACTTTGCCTCCCGACGCGGGCGACGCGCCACGGCCGCGTCGACGTCTGTGGCCGGGGCGACCACGGCCGCGGCAAGACAGATCGACTGGAACTGATGCCCTCAAAGACGATGATGGACGGTTGCTGAAAGGGCTGTCTGAGAAGCTGATTGTATAGTTATCTAGTTATGCAATTTTCAGCTTGATTAGAACGGTGTGACCCTAACTTTCTCCGACCGAACGGCGAATCCTCTTCTTCCCGCTAACCACATGGAACAGAGGTATTTTCCAGGTCGTCAAAGAAGGAACATCTATATTCCTACCTGCATACTGGATTTCAGCAGGTACTTTTGTGTGGCCGACCACATCAAACGGACTCGATTAACTTCACCGGATCGACATTTCTTGGTTTGCTGCAAATAACCGCAGCCACACCCACAGTGTCAGCTACACTGACACTATGAAAGCCTGAAATATCAGAACCGCTGCCCAAGAGCGTCGTAGTTTTCCAGGGACCCGACCATCTGCTCTTCTGCGTCTGCCCAACAACCTCAGCCTACGTGCCACAGGTGCAGTAGGCCGACACTCAACTTTTGGTCAGTGATGAAATGTTTTGTTTCCAAAACGTTATTGCTACGGTGTGGCATGCTGTGGCTTCCCTTGACGTAAGGTTTCGAGCAAGTCGAATGAATGTACTCGTAAATGAAAACCTGACTGATGATGCTTGGCAAAGCACAGTGTATGCAAAATGCCCCTAACTTCAGGTCAAATTATGCGATATTTTCCCCATGTCCCGAAAACACAATCGTGTTGTTTTGGTTGGGCCTGTTTATTTGGTGCCTGTTTTACTGCTGACAAGCTCAAAATAGCACCATAACCCCCTTTTACAACAACCTTTTAGACTTTGTCAAGCCGTAGGTCACCACACTCCTGACTTACATGCTGCATGCTTGTTGGTCTGCAGCATATTGACTACGGCACGTCGCATGGTCTGCTTTTTATTGCATTTCGGGATGAGAGTCGGCGTTATTTATCGCGGCAATCGGCGTTTTTTTATCACGGCAACAGCAGAAACGCAAAGGTTGGCGTCTGCTGTTCCATGGGTTACCAAACATTAAGTCCACACCCCCCATGCTTGATCACATTCAGTCAATCGGCTACAGCGTGTTGATGCGCATGTTTTATTGCGATCAGGAAGACCAAATACGGATTTTTAGCGTGTCTCCTGACCAGCGTGTTATGATGGTCATGACTCTCATGTTTCACCTACTTGATTCCCTCCGGTGAGCCGAAAAGCTAACTTTTCGTTGTAATCAGATTTGGATAATTGTTAAGAGTGTTGTGTATCAACTGGAAAAAATCACAAATCTTGGCTTTTGCTGACCGCTGGGTCAAAACAAAGATTCCACACCTTCCTTGTTCCTTCGCCTCCGGCCAACCGACGACGACGTGTTGGTTGGTATACTTTGCGTTATGGTCCGAGTTCGGGTTGCCTGGCATGTAAGTAGGCAACAATGGACTATTTTGACCTTGTTTACCCGTCAATGACAACGTTAGTACCCGACATGATCCCTACTTATTTGGCTCCTGCGTAGCAGCTAATAGACTACCGCGCGCCAAATGACGTCCTTTTTGGAAATCGTGCACGGACAGGTGATTTTGGGCCTGTCAGCGTTTTCACGTGAGCGTGCTGACAGTTATGACCTCTTTAAAAGAGAGATACTCTATCTCCCAATGATTTCGGTGAGAATGTAGATTGAAGAGTGTCTAGCTACGAAGATTGAAAGGTTGCAGCGGTAGCCGGACAGAAAATGTATACTTGGAGGCAAGCTTGACAGTTGTATTTGCTCCTTTTAAGGCGTGAGGACGAAGATTGCGTTTCTGAGAGCGGAGGGTCATGCTGCCGACACTGAAATTGGCGGCAGCCAGCAATGGGGCGACAGTGAACGCGGATGATCAGGGGGGCCAGATTTGTTGCACGTCATCGCGTACCGTCGTATTGAGCCCCAGCTAATACCAATGCGGTGACCACATTACCGCCAGGACCATGGCATAGCCGGGACCCGAGCCCAGGTCGCCACGTGGAAGCCTTAGGCGATAACCGCTCTAGTTGCGGGCGACCAGACTCTAGTATATCAAAGTTAGAACTCGAGTAAAAGGAAGAGCAAGACTGACAGACCGTCTGTAAACCATTTGATCCTGGTAGGTATCTGAAGTCAGCTATAAAAATATAATGATTGAAGGAGTGTTGATGGTCGCTGGTTTGCCATGCAAAAAAGTGCGGCGGGTTTGTGAGCACGCTAGTGTTAAGCGAATGAGCATGGATACCAGTCGATTAGACTTCAACGGCAGCCTCGACGCACGAACATCGTTCGCCCTGTTTTGTTTTGTATTGCAGAAAACATCGCGTTTGCACCAGCAAGGAGAGTCAGTTTGATCACAGGTGTCAGCACGAACGTAACGTAAGAGCACTCTTTCATATCTACGTGTATTATTTATGACTAGAAATAGTTCACATTAAGCTGAGGTCGGCTCAGGTTTCGACACATCCGACAAAACGACAATATCACCTTAAACTTATATAGATGCAGCCGCAGAGAGATCTGAAAACAGCGTTTCTTTCATTTACGGTGAAAAAGTACACTGTTAACAACTCGGATGGGGGCGACCTCTGGCTCACATGCAGCTTCCGAACACCAAGAGCGAATCCTGTCCTTGTGACATACACCACACAAAGCGAGGATTGTACGGATGTACCAGAGCAGGCTCGTCAAGATGGTGGCTTCAAACTCAATTGAAGGCGTACAAAGTACTTTAATTATGCTCACTTATTTTCCCGCTTAAAAATCTCGAGCTGCTTCAAGTAGCGAAGACTCCACAAAAATGATTGAAATCTCCATTGTACTACACGTCCTTTGAGTATAATGTCTGCTTCGCAATATGAGACTCTCAGCTATTTTTCTCGTGTGACTGCGTCATCGGACGTGAATTGTCTTTTTAGACTCATTATTATCTCGAATTTCGAATTATCTCGAGGAATGCAGACCAGTGCATGTCCTACACCCGTGCAAAATAATAACAACACTGTTACAAGCGATCTCGCGTTGCTGAGAGCCAAGTCTGGAGCCATGTGAGGCTTACAACATTCCTTAATCCGCGCCGTCAGAACCCCTGCGGACCGATCCCGAACTCTCCGTTCAGCTCGTGACGTCAACTTGCGGCGAAAGGCTGACTGAACACAAACACCGGCCAGGCACCGCCCTGCCACACGTAAATTAACTGAAGAACGGTCTCCTCACGTGGACCGGTCAGTGACATGACCCCAGTCAACAGACGGTCCCGAGTCCGGGGCGGACGGGCCCGCGCCGCGCGCCGCACAGAGCCGGTAGAAAAACACCCGGTAGTGTACACGCGACGCACACTGCATACAGAGTATGTACGGAGTTCCCGCAGGTCTGTCCCCGCGCAGCGAAACGGCGAGTATTGCACGACCACCAGCACCAGACGACCAGCTAGTGGAAGCCGTGGTGGCTGTCCTCGGTGACGTTGACGTCCTCGTCGCTGTCGTCCCTGTCCCCCTCGTCGTCGTCGTCGTCGTGACGCCGGTCGCCCTGACCGGACTGGAGGTGCGTTGGCGGGGACCCGCTGCTGCTCAGGTCTGTCCCAGGGGAATCGGCCGGGTCAGGCAGCGGCAGACCGGCCGCACGGCGGTGGCGCTTGGGGGGGGGGGGGGGGCGGGGGTTAATGGGAGGGATGCCTCCGGCACACGCCAGCTCGCGGGCAGCTGCAGTTGTGCTCTCGGCTGGCCTAGGCTACATCTGAGGTGACAGTGAAACTAGGCTCGACTTGCAGTATACGATAAGCACACTGCATATCTAAGGCTCTGCGTGGTGACGTGCGCCACAATCAAACCTCATTGCCTGGCGTAATTGGCAATGGACATCATTTGGGCATGCTGCTGTCGCAGACAGGCGCAAGGAGTCGGCTGGGCCCAATGAAATTGAAAGAGTAGTGATGTGTGGTTTAGTGCAATGGGCCGAGCTCCGCAAGTAAAATGCATAAGGTCAGCGTGTTGGCAGCGGTGGAGACCTCATAGGTCAGTGGCGAAGGGTCGATGTGGGATAAACAAACTCATCCCTAGTTCGAAAGCCCGGCGATTATTTTTCTCCCGGCGTTGAAGGTTTCCGAATGCTCCCATTTTCATCTGGTGCGAAGGCACCGGTAATTACAACTATTACACGCATCAATAAATGAGCAAACAACAACACTGCTACTCTCCGTTTGCTCATTGCGTTTGGTGTGATGGATATACACGGAAGTCTGGCGCTGCGAGGGGTTTCCACACATCGATTTGGTCTGATGTGCAGCGAACTCACAGAGGTCCAGTTGCATGTCTGGCTGCCCGGAGCCCGTCACCTTGTCGTCCGAGCGACGAAGCTGCTTCTTGTATTTCATCCGCCGATTCTGGAACCACGTCTTCACCTGGCCATTGGAGGAAACTTCATTCACACGCACATACACACACACACACACACATACACACACACACACACACACACACACACACACACACACACACACACACACACACACACACACACACACACACACACACACACACACACACACTATATATATATATATATATATATATATATATATATATTCAGGAGGCTTGCCTCATGAGGCAGACACGCATTTTCAAACAGCATCACTCGAATTTGCTGCTACCGAGCGCGACTTGCGTCTGCGCCAGACTAAGGCAACTGACCTGCGTCTCTGTCAAACTGAAGTCACTGGCCTGCGTCTCTGTCAGACCGAGGCGACTGACCTGCGTCTCTATCAGACCGAGGCGAAGGATCTGCGTCTCTGTCGGACTGAGGCGACTGACCTGCGTCTCTGTCAGACTGAGGCGACTGACCTGCCTCTCTGTCAGACTGAGGCGACTGACCTGCGTCTCTGTCAGACTGAGGCGAGGGATCTGCGTCTCTGTCAGACTGAGGCAACTGACCTTCGTTTCTGTCAGACCGAGGCGACTGACCTGCGTCTCTGTCAGATCGAGGCGACTGACCTGCGTCTCTGTCAGACCGAGGCGACTGACCTGCGTCTCTGTCAGACTGAGAGCGGCAGCCAGCTCGACTCTCTCGGGCGTGCTCAGGTAGCGCTGGGACTTGAAGCGTAACTCCAGTCCGTGCAGCTGCTGGTCGGAGAACACGGTGCGCGCCTTGCGGCGCCGACAGACGCGGCCCACGTCCGTCGAGAAGTACGTGGAGAAGGGCAGTCCTGGCGGTCACGGAGCAAGTCAGTGGAGAGAGGGACTGAGAGAGGGAGGGAGGGAGGAAGGTACATATACACACACACACACACACGCATGGACGCACACACACACACACACACACACACACACACACACACACACACACACACACACACACACACACACACACACACATATATATATATATATATATATATATATATATATATATATATATATATATATATATATATTCGTGTATTTAGGCAGTACGCTTTTATTACTGGAAGCTTGTACCCAAGAGCAATTGTACATTTAATTAATGATTAATGATGAAATGTACATTTGCCCGAGCGTAATACAAAACTTGCATATATATATATATATATATATATATATATATATATATATATATATACACCAGATGGGGTTTCGTTACGTTCAGGTCATTCAGCTTGAGCCAAGACTGATCAATACCTGAATATGAAATCCAAGAGCGAGGTGAGATGCGAGAAAGTGCTGCTTTCGTCCAGGGTCTTTAATCACCGAGATATCCTGCATAAGAGCCCTACTCCCGGCTGTGAGTGCACACATGGACAGAACTGCCAGGCAGGGTGACTGTGGGGCTGACTCACGACTGACGGCAGGGCCGTTGACATCAAGCGAGCAAAAGCGACTGCGTATAAAGTTAGAGCTGCCCCCACTGACCAGCTAGTTTGCTCTCCATCACAGCTGTGAATTGTAGTCCCGCTGTAGCCCGCTGTAGTGTTGGCATATCTTCCTTTTATGTTTTTTTTTCGTTGAACACAATCATATGGTGGTCTTTATTCAGTGATAAATCGAAATATGAGATCATGGTTGTCCTTGGAAGTCGCCACAAGAGCACAGATACAAAAAGCTTCTCGGAAATAGTCCACTTATGTTCTGGTTTCTGGCCATCCATTAGAAGTATATATATATATATATATATATATATATATATATATATATATATATATATATATATATATTAACTACACTCATCACATATGTTTGTAAGCATATGTACGTAGCCGCGGCAATCACGTATGGAAGGCTGGCAGTTTGCATCCGCTTCCTATAAACGTACTTGTTTTGTGAACCTGAAGGGGTGTAATTGCACGTCCCTCTTGCAGGCTGAGATGTGAAATATATACACCATGTACCATTCTGCGCGTCTGTGGTTGTCTGGTGTATATATTTGTGTATTAACAAGGATGGTGTACACAATAAATCTGGCTTTGCATCCCGTTTATATAAAGCTTTTTGGCCTTCCAAAAATGCCATCGATAAACCACATGTATTTCAACTAGTGTAGAACAAAACACAAGCACTTCGCAACACATATTTCAGGAAATGGTTCTCAACCTTTCCTCAAATCGCTTAGAAACATGCGCTGTTCTGGAAAATATTTTTTTCTGAGCTCACTTCATCAAACACGTTTTGCGAGCCTGCTGCTATTCAGGGAGACAGTTCTGAGACGTTGTGCCATTGAGGAGAAAGCGGCTCTAACCCGCTTCAGTTCAAATGTATGGTGAATAAAAGGATCAAAATGCCAGCGTTACACGGAACACAGATCGACTGTGAAAGCGCTGCTAGTCGAGTTGGTTTCTCAGTGACTATGCTCGTCTGCGAAGGTTCAACCTTTGTTCATGACCCAGAAGTGGGAGAATTACCTGACACAGCTTTCACCGCGAGAGCTCTCAAGCCTCGGAGCAAAAAAAAAACAACAACAAAAACCCGGTGCCCGGGTTTGCAGACTCTGTAGGCCGCGTGGTGTCGGCCACCTTGCTAATATTAGGCGGCGGTCGGTAAGCGGATGGAAACGGCAGCGTCACGAAAGAAGCGCCTTTGAACGCCATAGGATGTAAATTCGAGCCCGCAGAACGTAGTCCGGGGCATGCTTCACTCGCGTAGTTTATATATATATATATATATATATATATATATAGTATATATATATAGTATATAGTATATAGTATATAGTATATAGTATATATATAGTATATATATATATATATATATATATATATATGTATGAAAGGAACAAGTTAGCCTTTACAGCACCGTGAGCCGGTGCCGGACTTGGGCGGAAGAACTAGACAAATAAACACAAAATCTCTCTTTCCTTGTTGCTGGCGCTTTTTATCTGCTCGGGGGGCACCTTGAGAATTTTACATGCGAAATTTACTGCCCAGTCCAATTTTTTATTCGTACGAATACATTTCGATGGGCTTTCGAGGGGATCATTTCACGACGGCTGCTCTCGTGCGTCAGGAGCCCGCCGCCCGGTGTTGGCCCGCCGACGCCGCCCGGTTTGTTGGAAACTGCAATTTAGTCGCGAATCCGTCACGTGTCACGCCCGTTAAGCCTCGACCGTAGGGGTGTAGTTCCGCAAAATAGACTAGGGGGCTGGGCAGGGAAGCCCTAGCTCTAATTACACTAAAAATAGGTTTTTGCTCGGATTCGACCCACTTTATCTCTCAGCGTAATGGAGTTTGATTACCACCCAACTGAGTAGGAAACTATAGCGTTACCCAAATATGTTCCCTTCGGTCTGCCTCGCATTGGAGATTGGCACATTTCAGAGGTTCTTTCGAGCGTTGCCGGCTCAAAATTTGCTCACTTCTCTGGTTTTCGACATTTCACCGGCTTGTTTTCCATTTCCGACAAGACATCGCATCGTATCGTGGTAAAATAACGCAACTCGCTGCAGTCTGTAGGTGTCTAAACGCCATTGAATAATGTTAAAGCACTCAGACAATTGCGCAAAACAACATCGGAGCCAACAGCACGTATAAGTCTGCAATTAAAACGAAAAACCATGCGAGGGAAAGCCGAAAATACTCAAGTAAACACGGTACGAGCTCGAAGCTCTTACAGTAAGACGAGCTCAGTCAGCTGTGCTCAGCTGAAAATGACACCGCATATTTCATTTTCTTTGTCCTTTTACATGTGAAACAATTATCAAAAAACTTCTGTAAAATTGATATAATATTGGTTTCCCATTTATACTGTCCTAGCTGTCCTTTGACTCTGGAACTGGATTGGCTGCCTTGAGGGGGGGGGGGGGGGAGGGCAAACTCATCGTTGGGGGAGGCGCAAATCGGATATTGTGTGGGGGGGGGGGGGGCAGTGGTCTACACAAATGAATGCAAATCGACACTCGTGCCTGGGATAGGACTAGCTGAATCTGTGTCTTGGATCTGTCATGTCGGATCCAAGATATAGATGTCCTGCAACAGGCCCTGGCTGACGGCCATAGTATGTGACATGTGATAGGTAGTAAGATGCGTCGCAAGGATGCAGGATGAGCAAAGGAATCGGAAGGGGCGGGTAAATTACAGCTGTGGTATTCGGCCCCGCTCAGATATTAGCGCACTCATTCGCTATTGCTGGGAGAGACACGCCCATGGGATCAGGCCGCCGTCTTTCTCACACCCGTAAAGAACGCCAACATGGAGAGCGCGTGTTCTGCGTCACTGCGGCGTACCCGTGCGACTCTGTCGCGCGGCCGTACTTGGCCCGTGGGCGCACAGAGCGCCGCGACTTGCGCACCTACCTGCTGAGAAGCCGGGCGGTCCGGAGAAGAGGAAGCCGGCGGCGGCCTCCTGCTTGTGCAGGTAGTGCGGCAGGTAGGCGGCGGCGGCGGCCGCCATGCTGGCGCCGACGGCGGCCGCCGGGAAGAGCGCCACGCCCGGGGGCTCTGGCAGACCGCGCGGCTCCGCGTACCGCTCCTCCGAGCCGTCCGGGGACCGGGCCGCGTCCGAATCGTACTGCGGCCAGGTCATAGGTCACAGGTCAACGTCAGAAGACAGGAGTGACCACCATTCGATCAAGGGGTAGTTGTTACATTGGTGGAAATGGCTTTAAAAGAAGGAATTTTAACAGGAATATCACAGCATATTTCCTGACATAAGTCGGTAAGTGCTGCTTGACAATAGCGCTATAGACGAGTATGATAGCACAAATGAATTTGTAGCATTTAGACACGCAGATGCATGAAACTGGCTATACCTTAGATGCATCCGAGCTCACATTTTTAATGCGCAACCACACCATGGTAATATATAACTGAGCCCGTACGTGTACATCGGCCTGAGAACGTTTGCTACGTACCGAGTCTCCCTTCCCTAAGATGTCCTCGATGAGAAATGATTTCGGTTTCTGGAAGGAGTATTTGCCGGCAGCCTTGAACGACTTCATGACTAGACCTGGACGCAGCGGCAGTTAGCCGATTCTGTGAAGCAAGTTTGGAATGAATGAGTATCATCACATTCAGCCCAGCATGAAAGAGGCCCGTCTGACATCTCTGCGCTCCTTCTTAATCCATGCGGCTTTGGTGCTAATAAGAACAATACACATTCGTGTATATATATATATATATATATATATATAAATGTACATATATATATATATAAATGTACATATATATATATAAATGTACATATATATATATATATACATATATATATATATATATATCAGGAGCAAAAGTAATTCACTTATTTTCATCGTGACTCCAGTCTCCTGTAGGACCACATTTGTATCAACATTTTACATGGCGCATTGGTGCTATTCCCTATACGCGTTAAATATAACCATACGGTTGTAGTAAACGCGCATCTGGGTGGCCGGTTGGATACCCTTCGCTCGCGTGGGGGGGTCAATGTGCCCCTTCCTCTCCTAAGATCTCAGGAACTAAGAGAGCTAGAGACACTAAATTCACAGAGCGTATTGATCTGTGCGTAAACTCACTTAGTTCAAAGTTTGAAGTTTCTACGTCATGACCTTCGTGTCGAGTAAGGTCAAGCAGGGTCAAACTCCGGGTTGGTCTCCAAAGTGCCCCCAGAACATACATGCTATAAGCAAAAGGGTACATGTTCATGTAAGGCCAGTGGCCTTGTTTGACCTCTTGAAGGGCATGGTGATCAGAGTCATACAAGACTGCTCTGAGTTTTGCATTTGAATAAACAGCAAAGAATACGCTAGGCAGTACGCTCCTAAAAACAAAATTTTAACCTGGGTTATTATAGGTCAGTGACCTTTTCTGACCTTAAGGAAGTCGAAGGACGATGCGTAATGTGGTTCCTGCTACAAATGAATTTGAAATAAACACCAAAAGCTACCCCATACAGCAAGCTCTAAAGTAATAAAGCTTGCGGTTTTTGCCCTTAGTCTGACTCTCATACCTGACCCTAAATCAATGTAATATGTTCATTCGATTGTCTTGTTTCCTGAGAAAGCATCTCAGAGATGTATGGCTTCGTGTAACACTCAGTTGTTGCATCGGATTGAACGGCTCCCTAGAAACTGACTTCGCTTAATCAATGGCCTGACTTTGACCAGCCGTAGGTCAACGACCTTTTTTGATACCAAACGACCCGCTATTTAAATGTCTACAGCTATGCGAAACTTCACGCGGCTGCGTTTGAAAACCATTTTGGAAAAACCTTCGGGGGTGCAATTTGACCCCAACCCGAGCGCGTGTCAATAGTCATCAAGGAGTGCATGAACCACACTGACATCTGCCTACGGTACAAGACGAACGTCCATCGAATAACGGCCAAGTTTAGAACCCAGTCATATACGTTGGAAAGCCACCGGAGACTCGGCTGGGGTATTGACGGCCGGTCGATGAAATTAGTCCGTCCGGCTCCAAGGGGCAATTAAGTTGATAATAACAAGTAATGGCTGCTTACGACGAACGATGGATAATCGATTACCGTATCCCATGTAATATCACTAACACGATTTGGACGTCCTCCCGTTGGGCAACGGTCGGTAGTGGGCTGCAGCCGGCGCCCGATCATTCAGAGACCGGTGCGAATGCTCCCGGATTTTGAGCGCGCCGCTGATTTGAAAGTCTCTTGATTGCGCGTCAGTGCGGTGATTTGCGATTGTCTCGAATGGTGTAAAATGAAGCGAGCCGGAAGCCGAGTCGAGTCGAGTTTAGATGGTTTTAGCATCAGTCAGGTGACGGCACACCCGAACACAGTCGGCATCCTGACAAATGTGAATCGTGTCGATGTTCGGGAATTTACCGGACTGCTGGATATTACCGATCTGAGAATTACTTAAGCCTGCATAATTAGCGACCGTCCAACTGTTTATACAAGAGGTTCCTGGCCACAGCCTTCATCACCCGACCACGCTCATTAGCAAATTGGTCTTGGCATCCTCGCCGCCCTCCCCCTCACCACATATACTGCGCCGCGGTATATACATGTAATGCGGCGCATTCTAGCTGCTTGCCCCGGAAATCCCAACTGTGTGTGACGGTACGAAGTTGCCAATGATCGGTTAACCACCTCCGCAAACACGAAATCTGCTATTTTGCCCCTTGCGGGCTCCTGGAACGGCGTTAGGTTTTCAAGAACTTTGACGTGGGGGCTCAACATGGAAGGCACATCTTGGAGAAAATTGGCGTCACTTGCGCATATGCAAGGGATGGGGGGCATCACAAGAAGCCGTTTCATAAGCAGTGTGTTTTATGGTACTCATTTTGTACTGTTGTTTTATTTTACGCTAAGATACATCTTGATGCGATGAATCGCGAAATCTCACCTCGGAAGCAGATGACACTTTTTTGAAATATAGTTTTCCTGGAAATCTGTCCCTATATAAGATAAACGATTTTTCTGTTCAATAGATATAGAAAATAACCGTACCCCATATTGTAGAAAATTTGCTCTGGTTCAAGTTAAGAAGTCTAACCACATTGCATTCCGGCTCCCGGCTTGGTTAAATGTCGCCATACTTCAAGCAGGATGATAGTACTTAACCTACCTTTTAAAACATAAACAACTTGACAACTTGACACCGCTGTATCTGTCCAACATCCTTACCGGCTGACTCCGTCCTTGGCTGCACACTTTTACGCCTAAAGATTATTATCTTCTTAAAGAGAAGGCACCAAACGTTTAACGATGATTGTGATAACTATATGGCTGCCTAATATTTCCCGAAAATGAGGAAGAATGCCCGTTACAGTTTCAGAGATCCAATAGTCTTTGATCGTACAGCATATTCGTGCATGCAATTTTCATCGAATAAGTTCATTTTACTTTTGGCAGGTTTTAATAATATCTCCATGTAAGAGAGCATCGTTTCTGTAAGATATTCAGTTGAAATCATATGACAGCAAGCTGGTGCCCTTATTTCTCTTGTGTCCGACATTGACAACTTCATTGCATCGCACACAACCTGAATGTGATCAGTCTTGATTCAAAAGAGACTATTAAGATCTACGTTTGTCAAATTTCAGGGGTATTGCAAAACGAGGTGGATACGACTGGAAACGAGCTTTTGCTAAATTAGCCGTAATTGCATGTAGCACACCTCCAAAGAACTGTTTCTGGTTTCGCCTCTGTGCAACAAGCTGGTGAGCCTTTGATTTAATGTAACGCGCCTACCAACAAATAGTTCCTAAAGCTGGCTCAGAGGAATGCAAGGAGCTTAAAGTTTGACGGCCTGTGTGAAATTTGCCATCTCAAAAAAGTCGCCCAATTTCAGAACACTTCCTCCAATTGTTCGGATACTGCGACAAAAACACTAAGAATTCGGGGTAAATTCCCCCTTCTTAAGAAAGAAGTGGTTGGCGTGCCTGCATCTACGCCACTTTTGGACTATCATGTTTTTTTGGCTTACCTCCCAGAGAATAACGCAGCCTGAAATAGCGCACCAGCGAACCTGAATTGCCTATTGCGCGCTGTGCAAGTGGCTGTGCAGGCAGTTGGCCAACTGATTTCCTCGGACGGATGGCCAATCCTTCTCAACGGCATCCTGGAGACTTTGCAAACAAACGCAGCAAAGTCTGTCTGAATATAGTGTAAGGCTCCTTGGCGCAAGGCGTGGGGTGGTATGGGGTGGGGGACAAGGATCCTTGTCCCTTCCTTTTGGCTACGCCCCTTTGGCTCCACCAAATCTGGTCGACAAGGTTATGCCGGGCTATGATCAATTGACGTCATTAGTGCTATCGTAGTTGTTTTAATATGCAGGGTACTCCAGGTTGGAAGGAGAAAATCAAGCCGTGGCAAGAAATTCATTCTTGCCACGGCTTAATACGTGATGATCATCGAAGATATTGTGATCAATGCAATGCATGAAGTAATTATAGGTCAATTCAAGTCGCCATTTTGTCAGATCATCATGTGTCAATAGTATCATTTACTGTCTCTGTGTTTTGGCGTCGGCATTCAGCAAAACCGTGTTCTGTGTATTTCCAAGTTCGCGTGTCCCTCATATAAAGTTATAGAAGCACGTGACGCACAGTTTAATATGCCACGTAATCCAAAACTAATTATGTGTTATGGGATGTATCAGACATTCAGTCTGGGGCGAAGGTGACACAGCGGTTAGGGCGCTCAGCCCTAGACGCATCGGACATGGGCTCGGGCCCCTGCCACGCCACCACCGCATCCCAGATAACTTATCAAGGCAATCGTCTCAAAATAGCGCTGGCAGTCAGTGAGATGTAAAGCCCCAAGTATCACTATCAGGCATTGAGTTGCAATGGTAAAATATGCTGACCTCTGCATACCTGAAGGCCTCCATGCTGCGTGCTTTATGACGCATCAGATCAAGGCTCACGCCCAAATATTTCAAGGTATCATAGGTCAAATCACGACGGGAAATAGCACAACAAACTAGATTTGTTGTCTGGATCTCTGATGTCATTTATCTCTGAGGCGTTTAAGTTGCCAACTACCTCCTAAATTCTTAGTATGGCCTTGCTAACCTCTGAGCAGATCAGTACGACTGATGCTTAGCCCAAATAACGACATCGTTCCGCAAGTCGATGTAGTTGTTCATATTTCGAATTCCGGTAATATTCCAATCCCAGGCAAGTTCAGCACTGCGTATTGGTCTATGGAAATGCTTCGACATTCCCTGCATGGAGCTGTTGTCACCAAAGGTCAGTTCTCCCCATGAAGTTGACGTACAAGGCACAGCCATGCGTTGGAGAAGTATTTCCTTGGCTTCAACGCACTCTGATGGTTGTTTGCTCGCAAATGCTTTCAAATTATAGCACATTTAAACATATCCTCAGTCCTGACCCGACCCGTGAGGTCACTTATGACCTCGAGATCAGTCAAACCATACTTTCTGTGTTGTACGATCCAGGTTAGTCGGCTGGCCTGAATCGGCGGAACCGGCAACTCGGTTCTAAAGGTATACAAAGGTATACAGACGGGATACAAAGGTCCCAAGTAATTTGCCATTAAGCCTTTGGTTACG